AACGCACACCACCTGCGTCTCCTCCAAGGGCACAATCGGAATCGGACTCATCTGCTGTTGATAAGGTTGTGGAAACACGTAAAGTACCAATTAGATCAAAGCGTCTTCGGGTCGAAGGGTCTCCCCAAACAAAATTTGACGACCAAGGTGTATTGCAGGAATTTAAAAACGATTTGATGGTGATGCTTCGCGCTTGGAAAGCTGAACAAGATGAAACACTATCTAAACTTGTGACGGATATAGCGTACCTCAAGTCCCAATGTGCTGAAATACAAAAGTCAAATTCTGATATCGAAAACTCAATTTCATTCATGAATGCCCAACATGAAGAATTCAAAGAAAAAATCGCTAGATTGGAGATTGAAAAACGCGAAAATAGAGCTTTTATGATTGGGTTGCAGAAACAGTTTGAGGAATTACACCAACTCTCTAGACCTTCGTCTATTGAAATACGAAATGTTCCTGAAAAAGACAAAGAATCAGAAGGTGACCTAATATCCTTAGTAAAAAAGCTTGGTACCACTCTGGATATTACTATCCAAGACAATGACATTCGTGATATTTATAGGCGCCCTGGAAAACCTGGAACAGTTAAAGCGATTGTGACTGAATTCAAGTCTGTTCAAGTTAAAAATAATTTACTTGCTTCATCACGACGCTTCAATAAGGACCGTTCGAACTCGTCGAGACTCAGTTGTGAACACTTTGGTATGGTCGACGACAAGCGACCAGTCTATGTGGATGAGCATCTGCCATATTCTGTCCGTAAGTTACTTTTTCTTGCTCGAGAATTCGCTAAAAAACATGATTTTAAATATTGTTGGACTTCTAATGGCAGAGTGCTCCTTCGCAGAGATTCGAACTCTAAGTTTATCCATGTTAAAACAGAATTATGTCTTAATAGCTCACTTATACCACAGTGAATCTTTCAATGCTAGATATAGTATAATACATACACACAAAAACCATTCTGTAATCCATACACTATCTCAATTTCCTTTCAGGTATACTCACATTCATCATAATATCGACATATACACAATCACACTACAAACCTTCATGGGTCATATTGAAATAATATTAATCGTCATATTGTTTTACCATCCACTTACTTCTTATATTCAATTTATTCTATTGTTCGATTCTCTATCATATAACTCAACCAGCATCCTCTCAGAACTTTCCTCTCAAAGATATCACACGCCATCCAGCTTTACACGAGTGCTTCACTGTTGCGCGAATATAGTAATAAAAAACAAACCCTACGAAGTCCAACCCATTTCTTTAGTGGACATAGTTTTTTACTGTGTCGCTTGCATGTTTGTTATAAATAATAAAAATGACTAATTTAGTAAATATAGTATCCGAGATTGATGACATACAAGTTGGACAATCATATTACTGCACCCCAGAAAATTGTAATAATTATATCCCTAATGACTCTTCACTAAAAATAATTCACGCAAATATAAGAAGTATTCAAAAAAATTTCAATAACCTCATCGCAACAGTAGCCATGACAGAAATAAAATACGATGTCATTGTATTGTCCGAATGTTGGCTTAGAGTGACTAGCCAACTTCCTTATCTTGATGGCTATACTGTCTACTCAACCTGTATAAATCCTCTTCAAAATGACGGTGTTGTTTTATATATCAAAGAAGATCTGAAATGTGCAATTAGTGAGCCTGCCTTTCAGGAGGGGAATTGCCTGCTGTGTTGCATTGGCAATACTGCCATTGTTGCAGTTTATCGATCTCCATCATACAATAATCTTGACAAATTTTTAGATAGTTTGGACAATATTATTTCTCCTCTAAACTTTAAAAATATTGTGCTGACAGGTGACATAAACGTGGACATAAAGGAAAATAATAACAATCGTCATAGTAATGAATACCTTACCTTTATGTCCTCCCTGGGCCTATTGCCAGCGCATCTTCTTCCAACAAGAATGGAAAATTGCTTGGATCATTTTTTTGTGAAGACGGACCACGTTGCTACAGTGGCTGTCGTTCAAACTGAGATCACGGATCATTATCCTATTGTATTGTCTCTAAAAGTAAACAATTCCGTGAACTTCAAAGTAAAACATACTATTGCAATTAAATATAATTTTGAAACGATTAAAAAAGAGATAGATATAACAAACTTCACACCGATATTAGAACAATCAAATCCCGAAGTAGCCACAGATACTTTTATTGCTTGCCTTAAATCTGTTATTGACAAAAATAAAACAATTGTTAAAGTGTCACGAAGAAACAAAATCTTAAAACCGTGGATCACTCCTGGTTTGCTTCGCTGTTTGCGAAATCGCGACTCTATGCACCTCAAATTAAAGTACTCCCCTGACAATGTAATCTTAAAAACGACTTATTATAGATATCGCAATTTCTGTAACGTCATTTTAAAAAAAGTAAAACAGGAGTATGAGAAGCTAGAATTTGAAAGAGCAAAAAATAATCCAAAGGAATTGTGGAATGTTATCAAAACAATAACGAACCGTAAACGAATTCACAGGCCCCCAGAAGAACTTTTGAATATTGCAGGTGACAGTCACTCATCTGTGAATTTCGTTAATGACTATTTTGCTAATTTGGGTAGTGATCTTGCTAAGAGAATATCATCCTCGCCGTCTCCGCAACGGAGTAATTTGGTTAGACATACTTACCCAATTAGTAATTCGTTCGTGATCCTCCCTGTTGCGGAGGCAGATGTAGAAAAGCTCATTCTCAGCCTACGAAGTGATTGCGCAACGGGATGTGACGGTATTCCAGCTCGGGTAATTAAACAGTCTTCTTCTACTCTAGCCGCTCCACTTACCCATATTTTCAATCGTTGTATAGAAAACGGTGTCTTTCCCAGCTCTTTTAAAAGGGCTATAGTCCATCCTATCCACAAGGCCGGGAGTAGAGATTGCGTCACCAATTATAGACCCATCTCTGTTCTCTCAGCTCTTTCTAAAGTGTTGGAGAGGTATCTTAATAATTTACTGGTTTCGTATCTGAATAAATATAAAATATTATCTAATAATCAATTTGGTTTTCGAAGCAGTTTATCCACGGAAGACGGGGTCTCAAGCCTTGTTGAAGCACTTGTTACTAAAATGGACAAAAGGCTTAAATGTTATGGTGTCTTCCTTGACCTGTCCAAGGCTTTTGACACCGTCTCCATCCCAATTCTTCTCGACAAGTTGGAGCGTATTGGAATTCGGGGTCCTGGCCTGCAAATACTTAGTAGCTATCTTACTAGCCGCTCACAATGTGTCAAAATAGGTAGTTTTGTCAGCGATCAGGTATCAATATGCTATGGTGTGCCGCAGGGCAGTATTCTGGGCCCGACGCTATTTCTCATATATATGGATCAGCTTTGCCGTCTATCTCTTGAAAATTGCAACATCTTTTCCTATGCCGATGATACGGCACTTCTAGTTTATGGTGATAGTTGGGTCTCTGCTAAGCATAACGCGGAGAATGCTCTTGTTCTAGTCAGGGAATGGCTATCCATCAACCTTCTCACACTAAACTTCGAAAAAACCCAGGTTCTAAAATTCGACATTGCAAAATCTCAAGTAAACATGCCCCCAGCCGATATTAAATTGCACCATTGTCGGAATACAGACTTAAACTCATGTCGCTGCAAACCACTTAATACTGTAAGAAGCCTTAAGTATCTGGGTGTCCATCTCGATGACAGGCTTGACTGGCATGTCCAAATTGAAGCCCTTACAGGACGAATCCGGAGACTCATTTACATCTTTAAAAATCTGCGCCACTCGGCTGAACGGTCAACGCTTTTTACGGTTTACTTTGGATTGTGCCAGTCAATATTGTCCTACTGCATCTCTGTGTGGGGAGGGGCTAATAAAACTTTCTTGTTGAAACTGGAACGAGCCCAGCGAGCAGTCCTTAAGGTTTTATTGTGTAAACGTAGGACATATCCAACGGCGAAACTGTATTCGGAGTGCGAGGTTCTTACGGTTAGGCAGCTATCCATCCTTCGTATGCTTCTACGCAAACACTCTTCCCTTCCTCTGGAGCTCGACACATCATCAAGACGTCACTGTGCTCCTGTTTGTCCCCAGATCATGTGTCGCACAGCATGGGCTAGTAAACAATATAACGCTCTCAGCACAAAATTATATAATAAAATTCATAAAATAAAACCCATTTTTTCATTGACACTACATAATGTAAAAAAAACTGTAAGTGATCTACTTCTAAAATACAATTATGAGGAAACTGAAGATCTTATTAGGTAAACTACCCATTATTGTACACGGACCCACGCGCATGAACACACACCCACACGCACAAACGCATACACTCACACACACCCACACGCACAAACGCAGACACTCACACACGCACACACACATACACACACACGCACACAAACACATACAGATCCATTTGCATTAAATCCATAATATTAAGTTCTTAAGATGTACGCTATTGAGATTGAGTTTACTTATCTGGGATGAGCCACTGACTCCTGAGATACAGGACATGTCCTAGTTTGGGAGTTTGAGACTCACACTGTTTTAAAAATGTCATTGGTAAGGTGCTTATTGTAAAATTAATGTTCATGTATTATTTTACTATTGTTAAATAAATATTATTATTATTAAAAAAAAAAAAAAAAAAAAAAAAAAATTACTAAACGAATTTTCGGCTGACCGCGTGGTGACTGTGACGTCACAGAGCTCTTGCGCTCGGGTGCGGCGTGCGTAGGTAGAGACGCTACTAAAGTTCGACTGGAGCGATCCACGATCGAGCTTTGTGACGTCGCACGTTTCGGCCACCGCTGAAAATCGGCTACCATAAAATGAGTTATAAAATCGCAACGAATGAACCGATTTCGATGATTTAAAAAGTATATTAATTAAAAAGCTTATTAGATCATTATACGATTTGCTGACCTAGTAATGATCCTCAAGTGGAATTTAATGTATTTCTCTTTCCATCTTTATTCCGCTATCACTGAAAGGAACTTACCCCACCCTTCAAGCCATCAGCCAGGTTTTTTCTTGTAAAATGTACTACGGCCGCCGTGTCTAGTTTGTACCCATTCTTCATTTCGTACAGATGGACATTCTTCGCTATGAAGTGAGCGAACTGCAGCCGGTCCCCTGGTGTCCCGTTCATGCCCATAATCAATCTGTCAGAGACCTGATGAAGTTTGTCCTCATCTGAGAATAAATATTTATTACAAATATGCATACTATAAATTGTATTATAGACCCTTGCAATACCTACCAAGGTGTAACTCGTGCCCGTGCGTTGACTACTCCGACCGTATTCCCTATTCTTGGGCCTGGCCTTATATTAAATTAACCCATTAAGTGCCAAAATGAAACCAGCAGCATTTTTAACTCACATCGCATATTTTTTGTTACACCCTCTCTAATAGTTTTCAAAATAGAAAAACATTTATTTTCTCTCTTTTTTGTACTTAAGACGAGAGAAGAGACTCTCTTTTGTACTTAAACGCATTACTAAAGATGCGTCTAATTAAAAAAGAGGTAGAAAATAAATGTTTTACTATTTTGAAAAGTTTTAGAGGGGTATACTCGAATGAGTACAGTGGCCACTTAAAATACAAATTTTCAGTACAATATTTTTGTATGCACAGTGTGTGTCATGTAGGTTTTTTTGCTACCGCACTCTAGAATGACCAATACCGCAATGCAACTGTTTTAATTTTTTTTTAAGATGGAGCCAAAGCTACTTTTTGCCAGTCCTGACACTAGTGAAGATGAAGCGTGACTTCTACTTTTAAGTTGTTTAACGTAAATAATACCTGGTAAGATCGCGCGTCCATATGATCAGTGTGGCTGTAAATATGCAAAGGCACTTATTATAGCCATAACAGAACTATAATGTATATTGAAATAACAAAATGTAGTGTTATGGCAATTTAGTTTCTTGTAAGGTGGAAGTTTCTTACACAGACGGGTGCTCCAACCCTAGTGGAGCCCGACCTCTTTATGTAAAAAGACATTGGGGTGTTAGGGTAAATTAATATAACTACTTAATCGGCGCAAATATGTCGTGTAATACATCCAATTAAGAATAAGAAATCTTTGAAATACTTTTCGGTTTTATCGTGTATACTATTACTTATATGAAGAGAGAAAAGGATACACTGACAGATTGACTCATAAACGCACAGCCGAAACGGCTGGACCTAAATGATGAAATTTTGACAGTGCGTTCGTATTTTTGCCTAGACAAGTAATAAGCTGGGATTTTTTGAAATTCAGCCTCTTATGCGGAAAATTTTCAAAAAATATTTGTTCGTAAAATCTTATCCCTTGGACCTATTGACTGCAAATTTTGTATAAACATTATTTAATATGTACAGTAAGCCTAATATACATAGTAACATTTTAACAACTACCCTCAAAAAAATACAAAATTTCGTGCCAAAGTTTGTATGGGAGATCATCCAAAAGTGCATAGGATTGATTAAAAATTTGCATACCTACTCTGTATAAAATAAAAATGCTATCTGTGTTGATCTTTTATGTACAACACAGAAGCACGTCACATTTCACGCAAAAATTTCCTAGATGATATTCAATATGCAACTGGGTCAGCTGCTATTACCGCTGGCCTTGCGAATACCTCAATGTCACCGATGTTAACATTTGCTCAAGATTATCAATATGTTGATAGCTGTGCTTCGCTCCGCTGAAACAGCCTGCTAAAGTAGATCTTAAAGTTATTGAATGAATGTTGAAAATAACTCTTTTGAAACGTGAAGGTTAATAGTAGCCTCGTGAAAGTAAAAACATTCAGGAAGTTAGTTTTTACAAGCCGTGATTTCTTACTTCCCTGCTGCAGTGTCTGGCTCTTCTTTCGAGCTAATTGAGGAAAATTAATGTCTCGACAAAGGTCAGTTAACTGTTTTGAATTTACCTTAGTATGCACATGGGCTAGGAACCTTGAACTTGGAAAACATTATTTTTGTCCAGATATAGTGAAAGTAAAAGCGTGGTGGGTCATGGCCCAATCTCCCTATTCCATCCATAGGGAAGGCCTGTGCCCCAACAGTGGGGACATTAAGAGGCTGATGATGATGATGATAGTGAAAGTAAGAAGTTACTGACCGTTTTTCAAAACGATGATACTCTGTGTATTCATTTGGTCTGCTGCTATCATTGTGAAATCCTTGCACTGAATACCGAGAAGGCATTGAAACAAACTGATTCCTATACTAGACATTTTTATTTTGTAGACACAAGTAACTTTCAATAATATGTTAGCCCTGAATAGATCGTTCTTTTATGTTTTATCAAAGAAGATTTTGTATGTTTAGATATTGAGAAATTTAAATAATCTTATTAAAGCCACTTATTAGGTACCGCGTTTTCTTCTTTAAAGATAGACCAGTGAGATAGACATCTCTTTGTCATTTATGTTGACAGTTATAATAGCGCTACTCAGCATTGTCAAGCTTACGTCAACTGCGGCAACTGCTCTTTACTCATAGGTCCACTCTACAGGTCAGATAAAGATGCATAGAAAACATTATAGCTATTAAAGGGAGTGTTACCATGTACCTTGTTTTTATGAGTCTCCGATATTTCGGCACTGTTGCAGGCGCCATGATTACGGAGTAACTGAAGTAATTGCTGATGAAGCGATTGAAATTTTAATCGTGAGGATGGGTTTAAATTGTCAAATGTCTGGAATCCAGTGGTTCGTATGTGCAAATACCGCAAAAATCAAAAAAGAGTCCTTCCGCAATCTGATACTGTGAGTATTGTGTGTCGGGAACAGGTGCGAGTGAATAGTGAGAATGTGACCGTAGGGGTATTGAGCGCAGTAAAAGACGGCGTCAGAGGGAAGACCGATATGTCTGCCAATAACATCTACCCGCAATTTCTTCAGTTACTTCGTGATCATGGCGCTTGCAACAGTGCCGAAATATCGGAGACTCATAAAAAACAAGGTACAAGGTACATGGCAACAATCCCGTTATTAGCTATAATGTAAGTGACCATGAAAGTTTAAAATAGCATAGAAAACAGTTCCATCCGTCATTCAGGCTATCAAACTTCTGGCTCCGTCCATAAATACTATTTCTATAGTTAAATCTATCACAGACATAACTCCATAAATTCCACATACTTGTCTCTCGCCTATTTTTATAGTAATAGAGTAAGACTCAAGACCACTTACTTATTTTCTCATGGACAGAATATGGATAATTGATTGGTATCAGTGTGTACAATGAACGTACACATACTTGCTAACTTGTGCTGTGGGCCAATTTACAGGTATCAGGTAGCACAGGCACGTAAAAATTTTACTCACTTTACTTACAGTCTGAGACTCGAGGACTGATTCCTACGTATTTTGTAGAGAATATTGTAAACAAACTGAAAGTAATACTGCCAGACATATTCTGTCTGCTGTATTTAATGCCAGACACTTCAAATGTCTATACCCTCCACCCCGTTATACAACGGGGTTGGGGCTGCCGGGGATGATGGAACATTTTTTCTCAACTATCCTGTTAACGAAGCGGAAAGATCGAAGTGGATGGTACCCACTCCAGAAAGAGGCTTAGTAACAGGGTAACCCTTTAGCAAAGGGACTAACACTTAGGCTTGTATTATAGAAAGATTCTCAGTGATTGATCAAGTCTTGAGCATAGTTAGAAAGGGATGGCGCTATATATAGCACATAGCGATATCCCTTTCTAACTGTACCCAAGTAAACATCGACACTTAGTTGTCAGTCTGTAATACGGACCTTAGTGTCTATTAATTTCTTTGCCCTTTAAGTATCTACTGAACGCTAAAAAATTTGGTACTCATAAATTATGACCTGGTAGAACGTGGGGTGCTGGACACTTCATATTTGTCTGTTGGCGATATCACACATAATTGCTAGCTGCCAGTAAATTGTTACAATCGAAAGTGTGTTTACGATTCGGATTCATGACAAGCGCTCGCGTAACATAATCGCCATGCAATCATGCGCACAAAACCTTTCACAAAACCACTTCGGTGTGCATATTATAATTTACTATAATTGATTTACTAGCTTTTTTAAATTTGAATGTGTCATTAACTAGATGTCTTTTAAGTTGGGAATTATAGTGAAAGCTCGTAGTGAGAATTAAAAAGACGATTTGAACAACCGGCCAAATGCGTGTTGTGCCACGCGCAGTGTAGGGTTCCGTAGGTGCCTGTAGTTACCACAATATATTTGAGCAGGAGTCTTTATTTTCTATAGGTTTAAATTAGAAAAAAGAACCAATGTCAATCTATGTCATTGTATCTCAACTAAAATACTTAAATCAAAGTCAACTGCGTCTCAAACTCAACATCACTTCGATATTAATTTAATTTGAAATACGAATGTTAACCACCGATTTATTTTTTGTTTCCACCCAGGCGGGGCGGGTGGGAAATCCTCATGGCATCCTACAGCCAGCTGCAAGGTTATGCCAGACTCTTACTGACTAAAATACACCCGTAATTCATGCTTATGGTCAGAAGGGTCTTATAGCTGAAGCGATCATCCCTTGAGAAGGGGATGATTCGGTATAGCCGTCTTTCAAGTGCTTATATACTTTTATAAAAACGTAACGTTAGCGGGACTCAGAAGCCGTTGCCGTTGGTACTCGCGGTAGCGTTGTGGAACTATTATTTATATACTATATTTTAGTGTAGTTTTTAAATAGTTATTTTTATTAAAAATTGTTGCAATGCAAGGTTTAACGCTACAATAACTATCTATGTCACTATTAATATTTTCTTCGAAGGAATTTTCAATAGGTAAGAAATTTTCTTTAACACGTCCTAAGTTACCAAAATTAAATTTTATATGAAGAAGGAACGGACAAATGTCACCTTTTTCTTATAAGTTATTTAGTTATTCATTTAGCGATACCAAAAATCGAAATTAGGAGCTCGATGGCGCAAGTGGTGAGCGCGTTCGGCTGCGATCGTTGAAGTGAAGCAACTTTCGCAGTGGTTAGTCATCGGATGGGTGACTAAAAATTTACTATCTCGAGTTGCTCCGTGCTTCGGAAGGCACGTTAAGCCGTTGGTCCCGGCTGCATCTGCAGTCGTTAGCACCCGCCAATCCGCACTGTTCATGGTCATGGTCCAATCTCCCTATTCCATCCATAGGGAAGGCCTGTGACCCAGCAGTGGGGATATTAATAGGTTGATGATGATGATACCAAAAATATCACTCGCACCGTTGCCTACCCTGACCCCGGAACCTTACCCGCCCACAGAAACACAATGCCACCAAAAGGTAGTGTTCTTGTAATTTTCTATAAGGTGGGGGTTATTTCCCCGGACGGGCACTCCAATTCGAGCAAAAAATTGGCTATGTCCTTTCCCTCTTACCCTACTACTTAGGTTTCCAAAATTAAATTTTAAATGAAGAAGGAACGGGCAAAGGTATGTATTTATCGTATTATAAATATGTTATGTATATTTAGGTATATTTATAGATGTTACATTATCATTATTATATTAAGTAACATGCAGTTTTATCAATTTAATTTTGTTTTTCTTTCTCTTTTACTATAATGCTTTAATTTACTTTACCGCATATGTCTCTGCTGAGCCCAATGGTTGACTGGTAGAGAATTCCAAGTGGCATCAAGTCCGCCATTTGTTACAAAACAATAAAGAGTAAATAAATAAATAAAGGTAGTTATTAATTTTTATTTTTTAAAGCATGTAACTGCTTGATGTTTAAATCTAAAGAAAATATAACTATAAAATATAACTAAATAAAGGTAGTCTTTCCCTCTCTCTGCTCTCGAGTGCATTTAGTTATTCATCAGACCTTTACATAAGTAACATACGTTATATAACTTATGTTACCCTACGTCATACGTACTACGTTGCGACGTCTTTTTCTTCGACGGTACAATTTTTTACTAACACATCTAAAAAACAACTCTTTTTTGAAAATGTCTTAATAAAAACTTTATAAATTGACTAATCTCAATGGTTTTCTGTTTATATTAATTATTATGAACCGCACTTTCTGTGTGTATAACTTTGATAGAAGTTTTTGATAAATTTAAGTTTTATATCTTTTTGAGAAAACCTTATCAGAGATCCAAGGTAGCAAGTGATCTGATTTATTCGTATGTCCAGTGTATGTACAAATTTAAAGTGTAAGTTATACATTTTTGAATCCTAGAATTTAGGGTAGGAAGAAAATTTTATAAAGGTCTCTTCCTTTCTTCTTTCACGAATTAAAAATTAAGTAAAAAAAGATTAGATGACTGTATCAGAGTGCATCCAACTCTAACCTGGTCATGGTCATACAGACGATCAGCTCCAAGCGCCAAGGAACAATCATCTGATCAACTATCTTGATTAACAAGCAATTACAAACAATCTTCACGATTCCCACGAAAACTACACACGTCCCATTATAAAACATTATTCCTTAAGAAACTATACATACGTTCTTTAGAATTTAGATAATTACTAGCAAACCAGTGAACCAAATGTTCACCAAAACCTGATTAAAAAAAAATGTATTTAATTAATTGAGAACTTCGGAGATATTGTGTGGTTTCGTTTGAAATTCGTGATTTCTCGAAAACCGGAAGTGCTACGTTACTCAAATCCGGTTTGTAGTCTCATCAGACTATTCTTAACTTATAACTTAAATATTCTCTTTATCTATCTCTTACGGTTTGGCCGCTGAAACAGCACCACAGACGGACGGACGGACTTGTCTAATAGATAAGAGATTTTAATGAAATGAAATGAAATTTAATTTGCATGAAACATAGTTTGTTACAGTTGGTAAATAATATATAGTTCCATATGATTCGCCCTTGAAAGAGCATACAAAATACTAATCAATTTATTTAAAAAATCAAAATTTAGTTGCGTAAAAGTCCAATAATTATACAAATTATTGGACTATTCCGCATTTTCTCGAGAGGGTCCTCTCTAGGGTAAACATTAAATTTTGGTAAGCAAGCGTGTAAAATAAAGAGAGAGAAATTAGTTTAAGAAAATCTATTTCAATAAATTTTATAAAAATATTTTTATTAAAATAAAAATTTAATTCATGCTCTAGATTTTATACTTAGGTTCTTTAAAAATTAACTTTCTTGCTCAAATATATTTTAACTAGTTTCGTTTTTGGTTCCTAGTGACGGAAGATGAGGAATGAAACAGGCAGTGTGTTGCTGTGTGTATGTTGTGTGCAAAACGCAAAAAATATTTATTTGTAATTGCTTCTTATATACTATTTTCTTTAATTAATATTTATGTGCGTCAGCTGTAAATTCTCAGTTTGTTTTAGATTCTAAATACAAAGTACACGCTGACGCTATACATGAAATAATTTGGTGATCACTAAACTATTGTCTTTGAAAAGACAAGATCCC